CTTTGGGGTACTTGTATAGTGTCCATAACATCCAATTAGACTACCGTGGGTACTCCCACAGGATATTCTATAACATAATTAAACTAGTCAATACACACCTTAAAGTGAAACACTTTGATTTTGGGTTATTCCAGGATAGTCCTGCTTTATATTGATATAGGGTATAGGATTTTTGGAATTAATTAGTGCTAGGACCCCTGGCACCAATTGGGACTCCCAGGGTTCTCAAATTGCTCCTGGATAACATTAGCTCAAGGGAGTCCTGCATGGATTACCTGCCTATGGGATAATCCCAGGATAAAGGCCTCTTAGGCGCATCAAATAACAGAAACTGATCAACCTAAGAGGCTATGGAAAGAGGTTGACTGAAGTGTAATAAAGGCGTCTATATATACTGTTCTACTTTAGGGTAGGTGTTTGTGTTGAACAAACAATGATGGGTGAGAAACCGTAACAGGTAACTAGTGTGGGAATAAGAATGAGTAGCGGTACATAGCTACTCAGAGAAGAAAATAAACTCCATAAGAGGCATAGTTCATAACACTCTATGCTCCATTTCCACATGGTACTCTGGTTTTCTGCTCTGATACTCCTGCACCAAACTTCTAGTCCGCCATACACTCTCCTCGCATGTTCTAGGATTCCTCATGGAATCTGTAGTTAGACCTTATAATACACTCCTCACACATACAGTTTCCTCTCGCTAGATAATTGTCTGCATGGAACTTTGTACCTACATTACAAGTTACTCCTTACAAGCTCCTGCTTCCCCAACAGTATATAAGTTGTAACTCCCGTACCCCGTTTCTGCAGTTCAAATATCAACTAGATTCCCTTGCCTTCTTACCAGTCCTTTTCTAAGTCCTTTTCCGATCCTTCTCCGAAGGATCTTTACTCTGCTCCTCCCTATCCTCTACTTCTCCTCCATCCACTTCCAACGAGCTAGGGACCAAGGTCCATGGAAGGGCCTGGCACATGAGCTAAGCCAATTCCCCATCTTGCCCCTCATACTCTGTTACTCCACCCCTGTACTCTGCAGCTCTGTTACTCCAAAGAGGCCACAGTTCTGACAGTTGTGCCAAAATGTTTTACAGCCTCTGATAGACAAACATTGCTCCAGGAAACATTCAAATTATATCATTTCATCTCATTGGAAGGCTGGTGCACCCTAACTAGACTACAGAAAGAAAGCAGAGAAAACCCCTAACTCGGCCTTGCCACCAGCATCAGTGCCAAACCTGCCATCCTTGAGTCAAGTTTTTGATTGTGATGGCAGCACCCTCCTGTCTGAGGGTCCAATAAAAGCTGCTGATTTCTCCACATTACGTTGTGCGGTCATTGAATGGCAGGTAAACTTGGGGCCTGAAGGATTGTGTGGTAGGTGGCTCAACAAAGAGTTGGGGAAGGCCAGAGAGAGAGGGCGCTGTGTGATCAGCAAGTTTTTTGAAAGATGGGAGAACCATGCACAGGAGGGATGAGATATGGCTCTGCAAGTGTACACTTTAGCATTGACAGTTATGGCTGAAGTCAGATTTTTCAAAGTGAAACTTGATGAATATGCACCTGTGGTACCTCTGACAAAAATTTCAGAATTATGTTATTATTCTGGATTGTAAATAAAGTTGTAGAATGTGATGACAAGTTGATTCACAATTCCACTGTAATCTTATCATTACACGACTCTGTTGTGGTGCAACTCTTTATCTTACATCTGATTGGTCATCCAAGTCCAGTCATCCACATGGCTTGCCGCCGGGCAGATGCTCAACATTCATTGATCGAAGCTCCAAGTCAGACACATTGATCACTCTCAGACTCAGGCTGGAGCCTGCAGTTCTCTGTTGTCTCTAATTTGCTGAGGCTCAGAACTGCCTTTGTATCTTCATGGAACATCTGTACATTATTCTTTCTCACAGCAAATACTCACTCACATGTAGTTTAGGTGGTCCATGCTCCTATCCTTCCTCAGTTTTAGATTAACTGTCACACTCTCAGGCTCACCTCCTGCCCTGAAAATGTTGTATTTGCATGTTTACGCTTGGGTGGCTTATAAGGTACGGATGCACAGCTCACTTATAATGTTACTTAGAAACATTGCACTAACTACTGCTCTTCCCAGATCTCATGTCCGGGATCAGGTGTTCAACGTCCTGCATGTTGATTCCAATGGACAGAAGGTATACCTTTGTTTTATTTCTCTACACATGTCTATCTAACCACCTTCATCCCCACCCAGACTCAACAGGGGTAGTCAATAACTATGAAGAATTCTATCCCTCTGGACAATGGAAGGATCCTGTGTCATACATGGGCAAATTTGCACCTTTCAGCATAGCAAGCAGGCGACCCTGGATAGTGCAAATAGCCCGTTTGTTGTCCCTGCCGTTGATCCCTCTTTTGATCAAATCCTTCAGGATTTTGGTTCTGAGGTTTCTCGACTTAAGGGGGAATGTCTCTATCATCGGTCCGCTCCTGAATTTGCACATGCTGGGATTGCCCATTCTTCCAAATCTTTTTCCTCTCAGTCAACCCAGCCCCGCATTCACAAAAACAACCCCTCGGGGCTTCCCTGCTCGAACCCAGCTTGCGCCTCCAATCCTCGTCAAACTGGACATGACCTCTTGCACTGTTTTCAACCCGGCGGTGGGATGGCCGGTCAGGCTCCTTGGCTCCAAAAACCATCCTTTCCTCTCTCTGTGACAATGTCTACCCTTCCTATCCCCTCGCCAGTTGTGGCTCAGTTGGCAGTCATCTCCCCTTCCCCTCTTCCTGCGCACTTTGGTGACCTTTCCTATGCTGTCATTCAGTCCTTGGATTCCTCTGTACTGCCCTCTTGTGCAAGTACCATCCTTGATTCTGGCACCACGTCCACTCTGATCATGGATCACTCTGTTTTTTGGTTGTATGAGGTTGACCCATCTATTAGCATCAAGACTGCCAATCAGGGTACCCTCAACTCAGCTGGTCGGGGCAACTGCTTGGCCATACTTACCTTGAACGGTACCCGTTATCATTTACGCCTTTGTGATTTCATTCATGCTCCTGGTGCCCTGATGGATCTCGTATCCGTCGGTCGCTTGCTCAACAAGGGTTGGTCTTGCATTTTTCAGGGTTCCCCCAGTCAATGTGATTTTTCCTATTGTTCTTCTCCTCTCGGGTCCCTCCCAATGACGGGCAATCTTTTTTACATGGACTTAGAATTCATTCCACCCTCCTCTTCTTATGTTATTCCCTCCTCTCCTACCGAAATTACTGCGTTCACCCATATTGTCCAGACTCACAATCTCTGGCATGCTCATCTTGGCCACATTGGTGGATCTGCGGTCTTGCGCATTCCTCACTTTTCCACTGGTGCCTCCATTTCCTCTGCCCTTCCTCTCACCGCTTGCGAGTCTTGCATCCTCGTGAAACACCCTCATCGGCCTCACCCTATTCCCTCCTCTCCCCCTGCTTCCCATCTCTTGGGTCTCATCCATTCCAATGTATGCGGCCCTTTTCCATCCACCACTCCTCATGGGAAACTTTACTTCTTGATTTTCCTTGATGATCACAGCAACTGGCTGTGGTTGTATCTTCTGGCCTCAAAGGGGGAAACTCTCGAGCAATGGACTGCTTTTTGCGCCCGTGTCGAGAAGCAGATGGGGTGTTCAAGCAAAGTCCTACGTTCCAACAATGGGGGTGAGTATACTGGGACAGCTTTTTGCAAGGCCCTTCGGGATGGAGGTATAGTGCACCAGTTTTCTGCGGCTTACTCGCATCAACAGAACGGCAAGGCAGAGCGGGCTATTCACACTATCGAGGGTTGCCTGCTTGGTATGCTGAAAGGTGCAAATTTGCCCCTTACTTACTGGGGCGAGGCTGCACTCACCGTCTCTTACCTCTGGAATCTGAGCGAATCCCGTGTCTTACTTCCAGGTCAGACCCCTCATGAGGTTGTCCATGGTCGCAAGCCCGACATTTCTCACTTGCGGGTCTTTGGTAGTCGATGCTTTGCCCGCATCCCTCCAAAACTATGTCCCAAGCTTGGCACTCAATTACGTGTGGCCCTTTTCATGGGTTATCCTTTGGACATGAAAGCCTACCGCCTGCGCGATGTGGTCACCAGAACATTCTTCAACTCATTTAAAGCACAGTTTTGCAGGTATCTCTGATAATTGACAGTGTCTGATTGTTGCTGTTTACCCCGTTTCTGCCGCACTTAGTTGTAGGTGCTCCAAAAATTGTATGTCAGGATCTGGCTCTGTCTGCTACCACACAAACCACTATGTTGAATGGAAAGCAAAGGAAATGAAGAGGTGACAGACAGTATCAAGTCATATGAATTGCTTACAAATGAGAGGGCAAGTCATGCAGATTGGTACATAAGAGGTATAAAAGTTCCGGGAAGAAAAAAAACTTCAATGTCGAAATGGAACCTCTGGTCCAGGAACTGATACCAAAAGGCCCATCCCGGTGCTAGAAAATTGCTACAACAAGGGCGCAGAGCTTCAGGGCAAAGTTTTGTCTATATACACATTAGTAGTCCGTGAAAGGCGAACGGATTGCCTCAATACGACCGACCACGCCTTAGAAGACAACCATAAATACTATCATACGATGGGCTTGTACGTGGTCGACTGACTGAAGAACGTGATCAGTCAAAAAATAGTCTAGCATCCCACAACCGTGCTGCAAAGGGAACCACGGTTGGCAAAGACATAGGAGCCAAACCAAGTAACGAGAAATGAGAATTAACCTACTCGATGAAAGGTTCCATGGATAGAGAAAGTTAAACGTGTCAGATCATGAGGATTCAGATGCCTCGTCGTAAGACCGCATGGACGGTCAAGAAAAAGAGCAGTCCTGGCCATCACAAAGTTGGTAATGTATTTGGCTCTATTTGTGTCGCCACTGCAAGATCAAGTCGACCCGCTCAGACTCTCCAAGTACTGTCTCTCTTCTTCCACTTTGTCCTCACTCCATCCACACCCGGTTCAGGGAAAAACAAAGGATCCTTACCGATGGATCCAAATCACCCTCCAAACACTAGCCATGTAAAGAAACAGGAAGACCAAGACGGTCCCAACGATACCAGTAAAGCTGCGGAGAAACGAGATCCCAAGCCAGTAGTAAAGACTTTGAATAGAGTACCACGTATGTTTGCCTTATTTTCTCTCCGCTCTCTCATGGATGCTGATCTACAGTTACGCTGATCAGGTGCTTGTGTGAGTATCATTCAGACAATCAACCCAGGCTACGGTCTCTCATACTTCATGTAAACCTAGAATGCCTGCAGAAAGCAGAAGATGCGATGTGAAGGGGCGGACAGCCCCCCTTGTAGGCGTTGTCGCCATGCTGGACTCGAATGTTTATTTGAAAAACCCTCTAGAGAAGCCACGCTCACGGGAGAAGCTGGTCTGGAGTGAGTCTTATCGTAAGATATAGCATTTCATGCTGCTAATCGGTGATGCATCAGACGTATTCGGAGTCTCGAAGCACATGTCGCGGATATACGGGTTTCGCAATCCACTATACAGAATACTCTCCTGGAGATCGTCTCTCACTTAAGAAATGGCATACCTTTTCATGCCCGATCTCCTTCGACATTTTCACAACCGACTTACCACGGTCAGTCTCCTACAATACAATCAATAGGATCACCACCTCTGTCTGCGGGTCATAACGGACCAAGTGGCCCCCATATGACAGACCCAATGTTACATAATATGCAATCTCAGCAATCTGGTCCGCCACCTCAGAATGTATACTCATCCCCCATGATTAACCAGCCTGCCCGACAACCAAGAGGGTCGATATCTCTCCCATCGCCGGTACAGCCGCATACTGCCAGTGAATTCCATCCTCCTCAATTACCGCCATCATATGTAAACTCGACCTCTCCCGGTCAACAATATGGGTTTTCCGGAAGTGCTTCTGGTCCTGTGCTTCCACCATTCTCTACCATACAGGCTATGGGCAGTGGAAACCAACAACAAGGAAATATGGCTCAACGATACAACACAGTTGATGCAGTTCAACAACATCAGCGACAGGTTCTAAGGACTTTTAGCGTCCCGATACCTTCAAGCTCTAAACGTACGGCGCCTCCATCTAACGTCACCAGTGCAGATTCTACGGACATAGAAGAAGACGACAATGGTGAATTACCGGCATCCGGTCTGGTGGCACCATGGGAAGTTTTAAGAGGCCTAGCAGATGTTGCTATTGAGCGGGCCGCCAAGGTTTGTCGGCCATTTACTGGTTGCCGACGTCGTGCAATTTATTGAAATGAAATCTATGGTATAGGAGAATGGTGAAGCGAGTAGTGAACCACAAAGCAGGGCCAGAACCCCCTCGCCAGAAAGACAGTCTAGACCTGCGAAAAGGAGAAAGATTCGCCACAGGGGTCCCCGAGGATTGACTTTCCCTGACGGTAATTAATTTCCCTTGAATACTTGAATATGTGAATCTTAGTTGCATCAATAGTTGTCACCAAGAATATTATACCAGATGCTGAAGCTCGCGAGTTATTCAGAATGTAGGCTTGTTTCGCGTCTGACCGCTCACTTATTGACCATACTGGCGAAGATTTTATCACGGGTGTTCTACATTCCTCCCCGTATTTGATCTTAATGTGGATACATATGACGCTCTTCACGAACGTTCCCCTTTTGCTGTTGACGCAATCTGTATGGTTGCTTCCCGAGTTCGAGATGGAGGAGGTAAGTATAAGGCTGTATATCGCAAACTATCTTGATCAATGTCATACAGGCAAGGCAAGCGAGACTTACACCAGATGTTTGGAAGCGGTGCAAGCTATATCATGCGCCACTCTATTTTCACCTGTTACTCGAGCAGAAGCTGTACAAGCTATGAGTGGGTAACATGTATCATTTTCTTATATAGTTATATATAACTAATGAGGGCATGCAGTTCTTGTCTCGGGCTGGTCTGATAATGGATGGTTGAGTGGGGGCCATGCTGTTCGGATGGCAATGGAACTTTGTAAGTCAGCGATACCAATCATGTTTTGGTCGTTATTATACTGATACCTTACATCCACAGCCATGCATAAGGCATGGCCCAAGTTGCTTAGACGTATGCAGAACAAGAAATTGTCTGATGGCTCCGAAGATCAAGAGTTGGTGATCGCTTCGCGCACCTGGTTTTGTTTATACTTATTTGAACATCAGTAAGTTGATCCTATGGGCTTTATCGTTCAGTTCTGACGATCATAGATTGTCATACGGCACGGGCCGTCCTGCTATATTGAAAGATGACGAAAGTATTTGGCAGTGTCGTCTCCTCCTTCAACATCCACTTGCTATCGAAGATGATATGCGTCTCGTATCCACCGTCGAGCTAATGGCTATTCGTGAAAGAGTCCACAACAAACTATCTCCTTTCGATAAGCCTGTCAGCGACACTACCTTCCAAATCCTCCAACAGGCGGATTCCGAGTTTCAAAACTGGTATAAAACTTGGGATCATGCATTTTCTCAGAAGTACGAAGACGCAGGTAAGATTGTCCCACCATACTTGACTCGATCTACATTTTTAATCAAAATCATTGGATAGCATTTTATCGCCAGAGTTTGCAGATCCAACATCTTCATGCTGAGCTATTCCATAACGCTACCGCATTAAGAGGAATAAACGGCCCCGAGGACGTTCAGAGGATGCCTGCGGCGCAGAAGGATCTTGCTATAAGATCAATAAAGATAGCCCGTCAGGGCATGGACATTACTGTCAATTCCCCTTCATACAGTGAGGGAATGAAATATGGTACGTTGAGGTGCAGACATTTATTCACAATTGACTAATAAATCTTATAGCCGTACACTACACTCACGCGACCGCCACCTTTGCTGCATCCTTTTTACTGAGACTGTCCCGTCTGTTGTGAGTGGCCATAGAATCTTTCATCGCCATGACTCTTCTGATTTTTGCACCAGTCCTAATGATTGCGATGTGCAGGAAATCAGGGCGCATGTTGAACACCTCGCAGGTTTGATGGCTCAGAGTTCGTGTCACTTCCTGATGTTGCTTTTTTCTGGTCTCAAGTTTCATTGATATTCTAGTCCCTGGAAAACGATACGCGATAACGTTGCAGCTCATGCTAAAGAGGGCTAAGAAGAGGAAGACTACTTCACATTCTCGCTCCCCTAAGCTCAATAGAGATCATCGGCCTATGTCAATGATGATAAATTCTCAACCAAACATGCAGATTCCTCATCCGAATAATCCCGATACTTTCTCCCCAACTTATGATCCCTCATTTTCGAGCCCTGAGAACTCTATGCCCGGAGTCTCACTGGGGATGATGGCCCCGCAAACGCATGGTGCAGACATTGACAATATCTGGAGAGGTTTTGAAATGACCTCGAATGAGCAATTACCGGTCTGGTTGTCAGACCAGAGTCTGGGTGGCAACTCTTTCTCCCAGCAAGGCATGGATGCATTCTTACTGCCCAACGATTATCTGCCCCCCGCACCTCAAATCTGGTGAAATATCTGCCGCCTCAACTTCCACCTACTCGGTCAGCTATAGCGACAAATTTTCTTTTCTTTTCTTTTCTTGTATATGTGTGGAATATAGTCCTATATCAATATGCCTCTTTGTTACTGCGTATCGTTAGTCTGCAAGCAGATTGCTGTGTCCAGTGTCCCTGAGATGTTACTGCGTATCTCTATGTATTATTGTCTGCAAATGCGAATGTTGTTAGAGCACATTAGTACTCAATTCTTCATGTGCAAGATTCTGGCTTACGAGTAACCGAGGGAACTTCTACTATCGCCTCCAGAGGCTCAACGATCACTGTACAGGTAGCTAGAAAATTGTCAGATGTAGAATAGAGTATGACAAAACCGGATAAACCCGGTCTCTGCTGAAGCAGCCATTGTTCTCCATGGAGCATAGCCACCACTCCATGGAGTCACCATTGTTCTCCTAGGAGTCATTATACTATAGTGAGTAGCACCTCCGGCTATAAGTAGTAGGGGGTTTAGTATAGAAATACCTCAGTCGTTTCTATAGCCTCTTGGGCAGCGGCTGAGGTATGTTACATTACATTTATTAGAGATCACCTTAAACTAACATCCATTGTAGTTTCACATAGGTAAATAATGAAGTCGTTTCTATAGCCTCTTGGGCAGCGGCTGAGTTTCACATAGTTTTATTAGAGTATAGAGAATATAACTGTCAAAGAATTTAGTGAATAGCTTATCTGTAGCAACAACGACAGACCTGACACTACGCTCTTGAACTCCAGAAGTGTGAATTTTAAGGGAAAGATGGCCAGATTGACCAGATCTCGTGCTGGGAATATTGCAATATCTTTGTAGGAAACATCAATTGGTAGGCCCCTACAATGCCAGATACTTACTGAGTTGATTGGGGCCTCAAAGCATCTGGAGAAACAAAAACAATGATGAAGTTGTGACTAGGCAACCAAAACAGGCAATCATGCACCAAGATAATCAATCAAGGACCACTAGCACCAGCATCAGGACTTGGTATGACCTGGCAAAATTTACCTGGTAAGCTCCACCTGATTTGGTCTGTGAGTGCCGTTGTGACCCAGTGTGACCAGAAATTGCAGAACCATTCCAAAACATGTGTCGTCTTTTTGGTTTTGTTCCACTGCTCCAATGCTTCAAGTTCTTGCTTGTTTTTCTACATAGGCAGCTAGAAAACTAAAAATTATATCTACTGGTCAAGTTCCAACAGTCTCAAGCTTAACGACTAGTGAGTTATTCAACTTCTCCCCAGACCAATTGCACATATTGTCCAACGATAGTAGCATGAAAGATCAGAAAAGTCTGATTGGACATTGCACCTAATATTGGGTGAAAATCAATACAAATAGCACCTTTGTTGGGGTTTATATACAGTGTAATGCTGGTCCATGACACATCATGGTTCCTAGACACAGTGTGATATAAGGAAGTACTTGACAATGAGGAGAATTTTGGCTCTCCAAAATTTCTTTCAAAATACATTAGAAAACTTAATATTTTATTCAACATTTTGGTCTTCGTGAAAATTTAATTTTCCTCTTGCCTCAAAGGCTTATTGTACATGATTTATTCCAGTGGTCCTTTTGGCAATATATTGAATCAACGCTGAGCAACAACGTGGGCCTTTGAGTAGTTTATATGGAGGAACGGATGGGGGAGCAACCTTGACTGTGAGAAGGGTCTTGAAAGGCATCCCTTTAGATGCGAGTTCTAATGCTATGTCCTCAATTTTAGGCCCAAAGCTTCATTGTACACACTCTAATACAGTTAATGCTTAACTCACGCAAACACCCCACCCAGGCGCTGAGGCTGTATCACAAGGCAGGAGCAAGAAGTTCACTTTCTTGATACCTGATTTGTTCTTGAAGTGGATAGGATCAACCATAAAAGGAAATTTGTGGGCTCAAATGTATTCAAGGCAAGATGGAATCATGTCCCAAATAGGTGGCAGTAGATCTTGTGCTTTCTGATATTGGGGGCAAGATAGAAATACAGATGTAGAATAAACTGCAGGTTCAACCCAGCTTGGTGTTCCGTCTGGAGATATATCTCCAAAGATATGTTTCACCTCAGACCACTGAATCATATCAATCATCAGATGTTTGCCAAATGGGAAGCGCTCTGTAGGGAGGAAGCCGGATCTGTACTGAGGGGTATCAGACACCTGTGGTAAATTGTGTTTCATATGGGTGATCTGATGTTTGCGAGCGGATGATAAGTCTTCACAGAGCATAGCCTTGGACTTGGCGCAGTATTCTGGCCACATTGGCCCTCTTTGGACAAAAGATTGCGGGGTATCCAATAGTACACCTGTTACAATAACACAATGTTTGGACCTTTAAAATTCATTCTCCCCTTCAACTTTCTTTTGTAGTTTTCACACCCTGTGCCATGCTGCATTTTCCATTATTGTTCAAACTCTACTTCTCGCGCTGCACTGCCTTTTTCTTGTTTTTAGATACAAGTATCTCACGCAGTGGAGCTGGTCACACGGGCTGTGCCCCATGACATCATCAGCCACTGCCTTCATCAACTGTACAGTACACATGTACAAACAACCTGTAGTAGTATATATACCCCAATAGATCAAGGAGACTCCTTAGCGAGTCCTCCTGTTGTTTACCCACAACTAACTTGGTGCTATCCTAAGGGTAACCACTCCCCTCACTACCTTTATAGCTTTGTCTGAGTTGTGCACCAGAGTAACAAACTCTAGGTTGTTACATTGGTAAAAATAAAAATAAAAACATAGAAAATATTAAAGTAGAAAAACATGTTTCTCTCAATTCTTCTTCTTCTTTGTGGCCACCCTTCCCCGGAATCCCAAGGCGTGTATTGATGCACACATATTTATTCCAAAAGGAGATCTGTTTAGATGTTGGTGTGGAAAACCTTGCCCGGGGCATAAAACACCCAACCAGCGCACTGCTTGATTCAGGCGCTAATGGAATCTTCATAGATCAGGTCTGGGCAGAGTAAATTGGACTCCCCCTTTTAAAATTAGATGGATCTATTCCTGTCTATAACATTGATGGTACACTTAACGCGGGTGGCTGCATTACACACAAATGTTCTTTTGTTGTCAAGTACCAAGGACACAGAGAACAAGTCACCGCCGAAGCTACCCAACCAGGGAAGATTAATTTGATCTTAGGTTGGACCTGGCTATTTAAACACAATCCTGAGATTTACTGGCAGACAGGGGTTGTCACATTGTCACATTGCCCTCAGGAGTGTGAGGACTTGGTTAAACCGAGTCACATCCGTCAAACAGAGCTGGATGAAAGGATAAACACTGGTCACGTTGATGCCAAGCTCCAATCTTTAGATAAGGTCAATGATGATAATGACAAGGTAAAACCTGAGGAAGAGATCAAGAGGCTGGTACCTTCAGAGTACCATGACTTCTGGAAAGTCTTTTCTAAACACAAATCAGAGCGCTTCCCAGAGGCTAAGCCTTGGGACATATGGTCATAATGACACAAATGATGCAGATGCAATGAATATTGACGCCCCTCCAAATAAATGGGGACCATTCAAGAATCAGCTGAACTGGAAATTTGCACAGTGGGCTGTGAGAGAAGGTATTAGAAAGAATTCACTGGATAGGCTGTTAGATATACCTGGAGTTTGTGCTCTATCCTATTTCTCCGGTTAGAAATTCTGACATTATATTGGTAGTTCACAGAAAAACTAGGATTATTATATCATCATAGTTGTAGACAAAGAAATTCCTGAAAGAGCAACTTGGCACACAAAATATCTATATTTCTATAATTGACCTAATGAAAAACATTTGATTTAATATTAAAACCCCCTTGATGCCATATCCACTTTGTTTGGAAATACTTCACATGCCAAGAACATTGTTTGCAAGCCCAAGAAGATTTTCACGAATGCAAGCAAGGAGGAGAGGCATTATAATGAGATGTGGACAGGAAAATGGTGGCATTCTGTACAAGTTTGTTGAAATTTTATTTATATGATTCTGTTCAAGTTCCTGATTCAGTCCACAAACTTTAGGCACTCCTTCCAGATGGTGCATCTGTGGCCCCTGTTATTATTGCAACAGACAAAACTCAATTAAGACAATTCTCAGGCAACAAAAGTGCATACCCTGTATATCTTACTTTAGGCAATATACCCAAGGTTATCAGACGCAAACCATTTCAGCATGCCTGTATATTGATAGGCTATCTCTCTGTCACTAAGCTTTCTAAGGAGGGTCTGACTGCCACAGAGAAATCTATACAGATTCAAAGGCTATTTTACTCATCTATGTGTATGATCCTAGAGCCTCTCATTAAGGCAGGAAAGGAGGGGATTGAGATAACAGGTGAAGATGGGGCTATCAGAAGGGTCTATCCTGTCTAGCTTACTATGTGGCTGATTATCCCAAACAGTGCCTTTTTTCTTGCTCAAAGTATGGGACATGTCCTGAATGCCATTGTATGACAGATATTTTGGAGAACAGGGAGCCTGAAGATGAAAGGACACCTATTGGAACCCGGGATGCCATTTGTACAGCCATGGTAGCAAATTCAGTATTGTTGTCCTATAAGGCATGCATGGAGAAGGGTGTATCCTGTGTTGAGCACCCTTTCTGGGAAGGCTTTCCTTACACCAATATCCACTGTTCTATGACACCAGATATTCTGCATCAGCTCTACCAAGGGGTTGTTAAACATATCATAAAATGGTGCCAAGAACTCTTCAGAGGTGAAGAATTAGATCAATAAATATGTTGCCTCCCCACATAGTATAGTAATAACCTTCCGTCTTAGGTGGGGCATTATTACCTGATAATATTACTATATACATGGGGCCAGGAGAGTCTGGTGGAGTGTGCCAGCCGGGCCATGTTAGACGTGATATTATTGTGCCCATCATCGACGACCCGACTGGGTGAGATGCTGCCCATCCAAGACGACCTGGCTGAGTGAGAGGACACCCATTTTAGAGGACCCTAGCTGGGTGAGAGGGTGCCCATCTTAGACAACCAGGCTGGGTCACAGGGTGCTCGTTGATGACGATCCAGCTGGATCAGAGTCTGCTCATCAAAAACCTGTCTGCCACCTTGTAAGCATTGTTTTTTCTATTTGACATTGGATATGCAAATATAATATCTCATAACTTCCAAATCTGGTGGTGTCTTGTTGTTGGGAGGCTCTCTAAGACTGTAGCGCTTACATTATAGATACATGGACATGTTTCAATTGACTCAAAATCTGCACTTGAACGGAAAAAAGAAAGATAGTGCTCATCTTCAAACACACACCTCAATTTTTTACCCGTACCACATTTAATCATGCCTGAAATACAGTTTAATGACACCCAAATTGAAATACTCAATACACATTTGGAAGAGTTCCGGGATGCAAATTCTCTACAACGAAGACGTGTACTTGATGATACCTGGAATGAAGTCAGGGAAAATTTGGGAGGACATTGTCAGAACTGTGGCCTCTTTGGAGTGGGGTGTTGGAGTAACAGAGTATAAGGGACAAGATGGGGAATTGGCTTAGCTCGTGCGCTAGGCCCTTCCGCAAACCTTGATCCCTAACTTGACAGAAAATGGATGGAGGAGAGTAGAGAATGAAAGGGAAGTAGAGTAAAGATCCTTCGGAGAAGGGTCAGAAAGGACTTAGAAAAGGACTGGTAAAAAGGTGAGGGAATCTATTTGATATTCAAACTGCAGGAACGGAGTACAGGAGTTACAGCTTATATACTGTTGGGGGAGCAGAAGCTTGTAAGGAGTAACTTGTAATGTATGTACAGAGTTCGATGCGGACAATTATCTAGCGAGAGGAGAATGTATGTGCAAGGAGTGTACCATAAGGTCTAACTGCAGAGTCCATGAGGAATACTAGAATGTGCAAGAAGACACATATGGCGGACTAGAAGTCCAGTGCAGGAGTATTGGGGCAGACAACCAGAGTAGCATGTGAAACTGGGGCGTAGAGTTATGCTGACTGGCAGACCATCAGGAATGTAATCCTGAGTATGCCAATGATCCAAAGGCTTCGGACTCGGAGAGTATCTCCTTCAGAGATGCCAGAGTTCTGTCTTCCGGTACAGATATGACAGATGTGTACTAATCAACATCAAAAATTTAACAGAAATGAAAGAGGTATGATCACTCTTGATTGTCAAAGTATATCATCATGTTTACAATTAACATTGCAGTGGGTCAGGCGTTGGTTGTACAACCACAGTGGTAACAAAGAGCCTGGGAACAAGGTTGCCAGGCATGGAAAGTATTCAAGTCTGAACCAAGTGCTCAACTTAGTGAAGAAGAAGGAGGTGGAGAAGAGGATGTGGGACCTTTACGGAGTCAAGGCGGGGAAATCAGGTTATATTGGTAAACTGCAGAGAGCCCTTCATGGCTGTAGAAATACAAAATGCACAACCTGGAGAGCCCATTCAGCACACAGCACATCATGATCTTGAGTCCTTCTACTACATTATTTTAGCTATGTGCATTCTACTGGAGCAGCCCTACCAATTCAAGGACGAAGTGTTTATGGAGCGGAAGGTAATCAGGAAATGGCTCAATCATGAATTCGACACCAAGTTCACCTGTGCAGATGCAGCGCATCACAAATTCACAACATTTGGCAAGGCTGATAACCTCCGTAGTTTCCTTGACGGACATATCGATGTTCATTCCCAAGAGGTTCATCAAACTTGGCCTTGCCCCCTTCCTGGTGTTGACACCCACCACCATGACTCCATTTTGCAGATCTTTCATGATGCTCTCAATGTTATACAAACTAGCAGGAAGAAATTGACACACCTGAGACAGCCACTGACAAGGCCAGAGGGATTTATACCTCATTTGGATCTCTGGCGCTCAAGTGATAATAGATTCAAATTATATGCTCCGCTTGTGGTCACACACATTGAAGGGACAAGTAGTGGGGGGAGCATACCCAGGTATTCTGCATCAGTCAAACCTTCCAAATCAACTTCATTGGATGTCATGGGGACAACTTGGGCACGTACTCGGACACTTAATGCTCTTAAAAGAAAAGAAAGTGTTCTGACTGCTTACAGATCTAGCTTCCCACACTCTGCTCATCACAAATGCCAATGCCATGCTTCTTAAATTGCTTTTTATCTGTGTTGAATTGTGTTCTTTATACTGGTGGTTGTTTTCTACTTTGTATCTTCTATACTTTAACTAGCACATGAATGGACAACTTATGACCGTAACTGCTGCATTGCCCCAAATAGCAAGACCCATTACAGATTTATTTCATCAGTGACTTGGAGCACCATTATCATTAAGACTTCCATTTCTTCTATTATGTCCTTGCCTATATATCATCATCGTACATTGGTTAACAGAGATACTCCCTATATGTGTCCTGCTGGATGTGGAAGGTCATTTTCAATAGCTGATGCTGTTAACACACATCTTGGCTCTGCAAAAAAAATGCCTGTGGTGCCGCAAAGGAAAGTTACAATCACTCACTATCCCGCAGCAACAAGAAGATAATAGAGAAGAAGCTAGTGGATTAGACATGTTAATAGATGATGAGCATATGGAGGAGGCAATTGGCAAAGTACTACAGGAGTTGCAAGAGGATCTTTTTTCATTCATTCCAATCGCACATTCTAATATTAATGATGATGGGGAAAACACAGCAGGCCCATCCCTTCATCAGAACTCAATAGTCCTAGATGACAATGAGGATGAACGTATGGAACATCCCACAGCTGGCAAGGTCATAAGCATGGACGAGACTTTACATCAGAGGTGGAGAAGAGAATTCATTGCAGCAGGTGGGGATGGTGAAGATGTAGAAATGGGTGAAGCTTTAGACCCCAAGTTCTTCCCCTTTGCCTTGGAGACGGATTGGAGAGTAGCATGTTGGGAAATTCAAGATGGTATAGGACACCAGTCTTTTAATCAGCTGTTAAGTATCCCAGGTGTCAGTGATTTCATGATTTTTATGAATCTTGCTTATACTATTGCCAGGTCAGGGGGAAGCTGGGGCTTTCTTACCATAATATATGTGGATTACACAAGATTGTTGACTACAGCATACTGTCTAGGGCTGAATGGAAATCAACTATGATATCTTTTCCTGATACTCTGAATGATACATACCTTATCCAGTATAGAGATATACTTTCAGCCATCACGACTCTCCTTGAGAACCCTGCACATGCCAAACATATAGTCTATAGCCCGAAAAAGATTTTCACCAATGTGAGGAAAGAATCAAGGGTTTATCATGAAAGGCAGATGGGAAAATGGTGGCATGCTATTCAGGTGAGCATGATTCTGTATCTCCCACTTACAGTGACTTACAAAATCTTTGGAATAGGCTCATCTACCATGTTCTTCCATCACCTATTTCGGCTGGAGGATGAGCATGGATATCGGGCACAACGAACACAGAGACACTCACAGATGTTGGCAGCTTTCCTGAATGGATCTTCGGTATCCCATCCCATAGGCGAAACGGTTGAGCTAATTTATCTAAATGCTCAGCAGACTCCCTATCGAGCAGGTATTAACCCTGAAGATGATGAAAACACATAAGATCAATGAATCTGAACAGAATAAAGCACGGCAGGCCAGCACTCACTGCATGGGCTCTAAAGCACATTGTGGGGATTGTTCGGCCTTCAAGGGAGAGCCAGTTGAAATTGTTTGGTGCAATGGGGTTTCTCGACATTAGACATATATGTACAGAGCAATTAGGGGCACGGTTTACAATGTACCACTGCGATTTGTCTAATTTTTTTTCACCAAGTCCCATGCCGACTATGGCGCTGCCTGCCGCCCAAAGTCGTTCATGCCGTCTCATGCCATCTCAGACTTGATGTTCAATGACTCGGATCAACCTCAATATACACCGAACAGCACCCTCCTGCACGCCACCCTTACTTTGGACAAGACTAGTACGAGCCTAATATACACTTATCATACCTTCACCAATTTCCAGATGGGTCTTCTGCCGCCCGTTCCTTAAGCCTCTTTCCTTAATCCCTACCTACCTTGTATCTACTTCAATATACTACCACGTTCCAGGGCTTAAAAAATTCTTTCGTGCTGGTATATCTTCAACTGTAGATGAATGAATATTCTACTTTTCTTCCAAGGTGAAGATCCTTTTGTCGATATATATAGGATTCAAGAAGTTGAAGATATATGTGTAATGCACTAGATATTGATCATCGAAGTCATGATAAACTATCAAATGGTTCTTCACTTTATCAGCATACCACTCCTAAGTCATAATCGTAAACTAGAGATCACTCTCGACACCTCATCAACAGATTCGTCGTCTCGCGAACGACCTGCACGAGACGGCCTCGATGGAACATAAACACTAGGAAATGATGGTGCGGTCGCTGACGTTGGACTGGAGTTGCCACCTGTCCCTCCTGTTGACGTCGCCGGGGAATCAGGAGGAGGAAGTCGACTCGATGCCTCATTTATGCGGGATAACGAATATGTCAAATCAAGTGATTGTGCACGATTCTGGAGAGATCGAGGCTTTAACATTTGTCCTTTGAGCTTCGACTCCAGCAAGGAATCAGATCCACGTTTGAAAGCATCGTCAGTGTGCCTTGCACGTGCAGGGATTCCCGATCCCTTCATAGCATTTAATAAACATAAGTGGCTGCACGAGACGACCTCGAACTTACAATTGGAGACAACTGTTTGTTCCAATAATCTAGGCCACTATTGTGCACATAACTTGCTTGTGTCTCTTCATGATCTTCGACGTCGAAGATATACGGAGGGGAGTTAAACAGTGCCTTTACATCAGGCGATGAACTGGCAAGTCGGAGACGGCGTTCGCGAAATCCCTCAGGTTTCGATAGCTCAACAGATTCTGAAACATTTAATGACTACCGTTACAATTGGGGAATAGTTCATGAATGAAACTGACCGTGTCTCCTAGCTGTGGAAAGAACCTTGCTGTCAAAGTGAGGAAAAGCCTCTGCAAAAGAATCTCCTCCTTTATGGCTAGGAGCAGTCGATGACGGATAGACATGAATCTTATTGTTCAGCAAAAACTGCTCCAACATCTCCCGCGCCGCTGTGAGAAAGTCGGTATTACTTCGCTGACAACGGAACTTGAAGGTACAATCGGAGGATGCTTCGCTACCGGAAGACCCTACGCCGTTACTGATAATGTTTTGGAGGGTAGGTGTGATAGATACTTGAAGTTCACTTTTAACACGTTCCACGAAGGCCGCGAAATCAGCAGATGCACACAGCGCGAGGATATCAGCGCTGGGAGGTACACTGAGGTCAGCTTCGAAAGGTACGTATTCCTGAGTAAGGGTTAATGAGTGTCCCTGTCACCTGAAGAACGGTGTTTCCTACCAGTAACATAGTAACTGCTATTTGAACCTGATTTTCAGGACCAAATACAGTTACGACGTCAGAAGCAGTCTCTTTATCAGGGAATCGGACTCGAGAGTTGGTCTTCGATTCGATGTCATGAATAAAAATAGCCTTCTCGCCCAATAAGATTCGATGATACCGGCGTGGAATTGACACCGTTTCGTTGACATAATCCTTATCCTGCAAGTATGTCAAGCCCATGTGTCTCATCCGTGAAGTAGTATTACCTTAGGATTTACGATTTCCATAACAGATTGCTTCAAGTTGTCCAAGTTGGTAGAGTTTTTGGATGGAGTCCTTGCCACCACGTTATCTTCGTTATCATGATAGCCTCCCAGAGCGGCAAACTCTTCGGCATTCGAAAATTTCACGTAGACTCCATACTTCTTCATAATGCGTTGTATGTTACGCCCCCCTATTCCGATTATCCGTTTATGATAGGCCTCCGGGACGTGAAAGGAAATCTCTGCAGGAAGCTCTTCTTGGAGCAAGGATAATCCTTGCAAAACAGACGAGTCATTGCCTGCAATATCAATGAGGAAATTGTGGTCATTAAAGGTCTCGAACTTGATTTTGACGTTAGAAGCCTGCATTATCTTATTAATTTTACCGTTCTTCTTCCCGCTGATGAATTCCCGATGTTCATTAGCGAGTTCGATTTGGAATCGAATTTCGTGATGAAAAGCCTGTTACGACATGAGAAGAACACTGACATTGGTAAAGAAGGATCTACCTTGATAACATCAAGATCAAGAATCATGGTGACAGCCGCACGAACTTCATACTCGAGACCGTGCATCTCAAAACACATGCTCTTGAAGACAATCTCTGCTCCAGTTGTGATAGATATCTGTTTGAGAAGGGTGTTGACTTGCGAGGCATTGAGCGTTGTTGGTGGCAGTAGCGCATTGAACTGAATGGGCAACAGCCAGAAAGACGCAACATAATACTGGCAAGCCTAGGTAGAAACTATTACCACCCGAGTGATATCATAGAACCAGATGGCACCTACTAAATGCATGATCGAGCGTATAGTTCGCTGAACATTCACTCTTTGATCACCATAAACTGTAATTAGGCTGTTTGAACTACCGATGGGCGGAAGTTCGACATGACTCGCGTTGTCACTCATTATAGACTTCAGATCCTCAGCGTGCTCCAAGATCATCCAGTCTAATTTTCGGGGTAAAATAGCGCTGTCTCTGGATACAACGGATTTGCTCTACGAGTATGAACATCAGATACGAACAAATGCTTAGATCATCAAACCGAACCTTATTGGCTGAGAGTTGGAGTAACATGTCCCGCGCCCTTTGGACACCAAAAAATTCCCCGGTAACCCAGATGATGTGTCTAGCGGAGGCTCCAGGTTTCTCGTTTTCGGAGCCAACTAGACCTTGTAAGGGAGACGGTAAATATATATTTGTCGCCGTTTCTTCTTGAATTGATTGAAGTATGCTACGCTTTCGACCAGCTATAATAGCATGTAATTTATGATCGATTTCGCATAGTTCTGCGTGGAGTCCATTCTATATCGTCATTAGTGTTACACTTGAACTCCACTGCTCAGGACACTTACCAGCTCGTCGAGCATGACCAGTAGCCGGACACGAGCCAGCTCAACGGCGTCACCTTGCCCCGTGACTACAAGCTCACAAACGCGTTCAGTGTCTAAGCCGGACCACCCTGAGCTAGTATTTATACCATCTGGAGGCGCTTTGTTTGAAAGTGAGAGGGGACTATTAACAACTGCGATGTGTGCCATGGTTTGCGAGGCAATTTCGTCAAGCCTCCGCCGTACGTCAGGCTTCAGGACAGGTTTTGAAGATGGAGAATCAAGTATATCTGAACGCGGGACCTTGATTGCAGCGCGATGCTGAATAAGACGTGAAAATATATCTTGAAGGGGGGAAAGAAGGTACAAACGTGAAGAGGACAATCTTTGAGAATCATACCACGAGCCATCATGACTTGTTGATATAATCCAGTGATATAAAAATTCCATCCCCTTCCTTGATCTACCATGAAAGATGAAGCATGACAACCATGGACAGACATAGCCATGACGGTCAGCTTGTGTATAGATTCACTGTCAGAAGAAGCATCTGGAACTGCATTAACATGATTTTCTTGTATTTGATGTTCTTTATGCATTGCTGTCAAAGATTCGGACTGAGGAAAACGAAAGTCGCCTCCGTGCAGATCAAAGCTTAAAGAGGAGTAGTGTCGCATCCTGCGAGGATGCGTGAAGGAAGTAGAGTAAACATCCATTTTGGAAGGGAAGAGGGTAGTGGATAGAAACAAGATGAAAAGTCAGCGGTGTGATAAAGATCAGGGGTATGGAGCGGATAGGGGGTATGAGTATGGTATGGGTATTGAAATATTGCGAGACCACTGGTTTGTTAGCATGAAAATGCAGTGCAGTAACCCGTGGGACTATGCCCTCCTATTTCGGGACTCGCCGTATAGACCTTACACTTCACAGTGAGGATGATTTCGTCGTCCTAAAATGATATAGAAAATTATAAGTAAAGCATTAAATTTAGCATCAGCACTTCGGAAAGAAAGAATGTTGAGCGACATCTAAATACTAATTCAAACATCAAATTTTCATGGAAATTCCATGGTTATTGAGGAGCGGTCGGCGTACAGTCACTTCAAATTGTTTCAAATTCGACTAGCTCCACATAATTTCATATTTTAAGGAATATAACTGCAAAACCAAATTATCTTAGTTTCTATTTTATTTTCCGATATTCAAGTTGGAAAAGTAGGTATTTTAATGGCCGTTTAAGAAAGGGCCAAAATAAGATATTTTGAACGCATCACCCACTCGAGGACCCTTGATAATTCCTATGGAACCTTGATTTGTTGCTTTGGATTTTTGTCCGGACACGACCTCCAGAAACCCTCTAGAAATTGAACAAAAATAGTGAAATCCAATTTACTCTTTAATGAAGCCATCAATGACAACTGTTGATCCTTTCAAGTTGATTGGAATTTGCATCCAATTGCCAGCTCTGAGACTAACAACAAGAGTCCAATGATAGGTGGGAATGCTATCATAAAATCTCTAATAACTGTTTCCTTCAGGATATACATCTAATTGGACAAGCTACACTTGGTGTCTATGGCTAATCAAAGAGACGAGAACCATTGATCAAGAACTGCTATCTTCTGATCTGTCATCAGCAACAGCACCACATTCTTCACAACAGAGTCAAAACCCCTTCAAACATGAGTCCTTTGCAAGACCCTGATCTAGGGGACCTTTTTTTTGATGCTTCGTGAGATTGTAGCTGATGACATTACTCACAATGGTTATGGGCTTCTTCCAGATGAGAGGTGACAAAACCAGATAAACCCGGTCTCTGCCGAAGCAGCCATTGTTCTCCAAGAACAATGGTGACTCCATGGAGTCATTATTAATAAAACTAAGTGCAACTCAGCCGCTGCCCAAGAGGCTATAGAAACAACTTTGTAATTTACCTAAGTGAAACTACAATAGATGTTAGTTTAAGGTGATCTCTAATAAATGTAATGTAACATACCTCAGCCGCTGCCTGAGAGGCTATAGAAACGACCGAGGTATTCCTATACTAAACCCCCTACTACTTATAGTCGGAGGTGCTACTCGCTACAGTATAATGACTCCTAGGAGTACAATTGTGCTCCTAGGAGAACAATGGTTACTCCATGGAGTGGTGGCTATGCTCCATGGAGAACAATGGCTGCTTTGGCAGAGACCGGGTTTATCCGGTTTTACTCCCACTCGAGTGCAACTGTAGTCTCATAGCTTTAGAGAATTTCCAGTGTTTTTTGTGAGTGAGGGGTTTAGTGAGAATGTCTGCAACCATATCTCCTGTAGGAACGTATCTGATTACTGCCTCTCCCTTTGATACTAAGTCATCTCGGATAAAATGATATTTCCGTTGAATGTGTTTTGTGCGAGCACGGAACTGTGGATCTCGTGTACGAATGATAGTTGCTTGATTGTCACAGTGCAATGTTGTAGGTCCATTTTGAGCATGTCCAATTTCTTCAAAAAATGTCCAAAGCCATGCAAGGTGTTGTCCAGCATTGCTCAATCCAATGTACTCTGACTCCGTGGAGGATAAAGCTACCATGCTTTGTCTTTTGCTTGTCCAGGAGATTGCTCCTTGGATGGTGATAAAGACAAACCCTGATGTTGATCGAGATGTGTCTGGGTCTCCAGACCAATCTGCATCTGATTATCCATAGAAATCCATGTCCATAGAGACATCTGTGCCATCATATTGTAGTTCCATATCCCTGGTTGCTTTCAGATATCGGAGGACACATTTTGCAGCTTCCCAGTGATGGCTCCTTGGAGCTGAGCTATGTCTGCTTAGTATTCCAACAACGTAGGCAATGTCTGGGCAGGTTCCGAGCATGACATACATGAGGGAGCCTACAATTGAGAGGTATGACACTTGGCGCCCTTCAATATGCATCTCATGTTGCACAATATCTTCCCCTGGAGCGTTTGCGAGGAGTTTTGATCCATGGGCCATTGGTGTCCATACTGGTTTGCAGTTCTTTATTCCAGTACGCTCCAGGACTGTGCCAATGTATTGGTGTTGCAATAGGGATATTGTTTTGTTTGAACGATCACGTTGGATTTCTATTCTGAGGATGTATTTTGCTTCTCCAAGGTCCCGCATTTTGAATATGGATTCGAGTTTGGCTTTTGTGATATCCATGAATTTTCGGGATGAAGCTCCTAGGAGGAGGTCATCTACATAGGCAACAACAAAGCATATTTGTTTGTTTTCCCGGAATACATAGAGACATGTTTCTGCATTTAGTCTTGTGAAACCGAGCTCCTGGAGCTTGCGATCAAAAGTTTTGTTCCATGTACAACCAGCTTGTTTTAACCTGTAGATGGATTTCTTCAATCTCCAGCAGTATCCAGGTTGGATAGGAACACCCCTTGGAGGAAGCATGTACAGTTTTTCTTCAAGTTCTCCATTGAGATAAGCTGTGGATACGTCCATTTGATCAAGTTCTAGGTCGTACTTTGCTGCCAGGGCTAGAATAATTCAGATTGACTCTAAGTTTGCAACCGGAGCAAAAACCTCCTGGTAATCAATCCCCTCCCTTTGAGTAAAACCTCGTGCAACAATCCGGAGTTTGTATCTCTTAATGTTTCCGTTTCGATCAAACTTGATCCGGAACACAGGTTTTGATGTGATGGGTTTTACTCCCTTCGGAAGTGGAACAGTGTCATATACTGCATTAGTATTGAGACTTAGGAGTTCCTCCTCCAAGGCAGACTTCCATAATTCTCCATCCGGACGTGATAAGGCTTCCTTTAGTGTACTTGGAAGGTCTGTGTTAGATGGACCGGTACTTGCTATTCCAGCAAAGAATGTCTCCTCCGTATCAGATGTTTCTTCATGAACCTCAGGAGTGTTAGGTTTCTCCATGGAGTTGTCATGCTGCTCTTTTCAAGACTGTTCCTCATCTAGAGTCCTTTGATAATCTTGGTTTTTGTCTGCAGGACGGGTCTGGCGACTGCTTCTGCATACTCCTGGGACTTCAGCAGGCATGACTGCTCTTTTAGGAACTTGTGCAGGTGCTCCAGGGAGTAGATGCATTTGTGTATTTGTTGCCCCACTCACTCCTGAAGGTGTTGGATCACTCTTCAGAGGTGTTGTATGCCTTCCAGAAGCTGATCCAATGGACAGGCTGTCTAGCTGTATTCGGACTTTTTCCACATCAGCTGGCTGTATGTTGAGGGGCTATCCTCCCACTGACTGTAACTCTACTTTGGCTTTCCATTCTGAAGATGGCCAGTGTTCATGTCTTGGTTGTAGAGACTGTTGTGGAGGGTATCTTAGCTGATTAGGTGCTCCCACTGCTCTTGGAACGTCTCCACGGAGGTATTGCCCCACTGCTCTCGGAACATCTTCATGCTGATATGGTTCCATTTGTAATTCATTTGGATCTCGGATCCAAGGGTCAGGATCATCCTCCTCCAATGTTTTTTGGTCTGGATAGTGAGCATTCTCTGGAATGAGTCCCTCCCACTGATCTGTGCTAGTATCTGTGTTCCAGGGAGCAGTGTCGTCCTTTTGTACCTTTCTGGATTCATTGAATATGACATGCCGACTGGAAAACACAGTTCATTTTTCAGTGTCTAGGAGTTTGTAGGCTTGCTTTCCATGTGTGTAGCCAATCATTATGGCTTTGATATCCCTGTTTTGGACAATTTGTGGACAGAGATGAGTGCTAACATGAAGTTTGGCACAAGTAAGACATTTGACAGTGCAATATTGTAGTCCTTTTTGCCAATAGTTGCTTGTAGGATTACTGTTCCATCGCCAATGGCATTTACAGAGGATTCATCCCCAAAACTGATTGTCCTCGGAGGATACAGAACATGGTATGTTCCTGGCTCAAACCAGGAGCGGTGAGGGACCATGTGGGATGTTGCTCCGGAGTTAATAATAATCGTTGTGTTGGTCTTATCAGGTTCCGACACAAGGTAAGCTTGAATGTGTTTAGCAAGTGGCTTGGAAATATGTACATGTTCCAATGCAATATGACTTTGTTCCTCCTCGGAGTCAGATCCAGATGATTGCTCCGCTGTATTTGCCTTTTCCTTCTCTTTTCCTTTATCCTTGTGTCTTTCCTTTCCCTTCTTCTTTTGACCTTTTTCAGCTGACTGAAGTGTTCGACACTCCGAGGTGTTGTGTGATTTGGCTTTGTGGAAGTTACACCATTCAGCATGAAGATGTTCCGAGAGCAGTGGGGCAATACCTCCGTGGAGACGTTCCAAGAGCAGTGGGAGCACCTAATCAGCTAAGATACCCTCCACAACAGTCTCTACAACCAAGACATGAACACTGGCCATCTTCAGAATGGAAAGCCAAAGTAGAGTTACAGTCAGTGGGAGGATAGCCCCTCAACATACAGCCAGCTGATGTGGAAAAAGTCCGAATACAGCTAGACAGCCTGTCCATTGGATCAGCTTCTGGAAGGCATACAACACCTCTGAAGAGTGATCCAACACCTTCAGGAGTGAGTGGGGCAACAAATACACAAATGCATCTACTCCCTGGAGCACCTGCACAAGTTCCTAAAAGAGCAGTCATGCCTGCTGAAGTCCCAGGAGTATGCAGAAGCAGTCGCCAGACCCGTCCTGCAGACAAAAACCAAGATTATCAAAGGACTCTAGATGAGGAACAGTCTTGAAAAGAGCAGCATGACAACTCCATGGAGAAACCTAACACTCCTGAGGTTCATGAAGAAACATCTGATACGGAGGAGACATTCTTTGCTGGAATAGCAAGTACCGGT